TTCCTCCGCAACCTTGCCAGCATTTATCATTCTCAGTCTTTTGGATTTTCGCCATCCTAACTGGAGTGAGGAGGTATCTCAGTGTGGTTTTGATTTGCATTTCCCGTATGCTGAGTGATATTGAGCATTTTTTCATATGTTTGTTGGCCATTTGTATATCTTCCTTAGAGAAATGTCTACTTAGCTCTTTTGCCGATTTTTTAATTGGGTTGCTTGTTTTTTTCTTGTAAAGTTGTTTGAGTTCCTTGTATATTCTGGATATTAATCCTTTGTCAGATGTATATTTTGCAAATATTTTCTCCCACTCTGTTGGTTGTCTTTTAACTCTGTTAATTGTTTCTTTTGCTGTGCAGAAGCTTTTTAGTTTGATATAATCCCATTTGTTTATTTTTCCTTTGGTTGCCTGTGCTTTGGGGGTTGTATTCATGAAGTCTGTGTCCAGTCCTATTTCCTGAAGTGTTTCTCCTATGTTTTCTTTAAGAAGTTTTATTGTTTCAGGGTGTATATTTAATTCTTTAATCCATTTTGAGTTTACTTTAGTGTATGGGTCTAGTTTCATTCTTCTGCATATTGATAGCCAGTTCTCACAGCACCATTTGCTGAAGAGGCAGTCTCTTCCCCAATGCATAGACTTGGTGCCTTTGTCAAAAATCAGAGGCCATCTTACTTTTAATGGGCCAATACCCTAAAATGTCAGTGGTAGTTTGTTGGTATTACAGATAATTCGAATTTTCTTCTCAGTGCATTTCTGGGTTTTTCTAACTTTTATGCAGTGAACATTATTACTTTTGTGTTCAGATAAAATATTTTTAAAATTTAAAGGTAAAAACTAGTAGAATTGTGAAGTAAATAAATAAGTACAATATGAAAATAAATAAGGTATAATTCTCTGAAACTAACAACTTAACAGCAAACTGGGTTGCTTAGAATTGTCTCTAAAGGTGTTTGCAAGAAAAAACATTGATGTAAGCCTTTAATAATACCAATTATGACTTCTCTATGAAGAATAATTGCAGGAGTCCTAAGAAAGGCCTTCTAGCCCTATTCCCCAAGTCAGAATTTCTTTAAATAAGATTTTAAAAAAGGGTGAAAGAGTATCATTGTCTCTTCTGCCTGGTCGTTCCTGCTACTGCCATCCCCATTCACTGGTGATCATATTCCTGCTGGTGGAAGGGCAGGAGATCTTAAAGACTTTCCTAATACCTCACTTTTAGAGAGGAGACAGGTGTCTGTGTTCCATTTGTCCACTAACCCTGCTGTTCCCTCTCTGTTCTGTCCATAGGCAGCTGGCCAAGAGTCTTGGGCAGGCTGGTGAAATTGAGCCGGAAACAGAAGGAATACTGACAGAGTATGGTGTGGATTTCTCTGAGTTCTCTTCAGAAGTTCTAGAATGCCTCCCTCAAGGCCTGCCCTGGACAATTCCTCCAGAGGAGTTCAGCAAGAGAAGAGATTTAAGGTAAATACCTGAAACCTTTTAAGAACAAACAACATGTTTCTGTCTTTCTGCCATCTAGCTTAATTCTCCTAGGGGCTAGACTCTGATGTTGTCATCTTTCCACCAACATTCAAGTTCAGTTCAGTTGATAATTAAGTGCTTCTGTTACCAGAGGTCAACAAATTATGACCCACAAGCCAAATCCAGCCGACTACCTGTTTATGTACAGCCCATGAGCTAAGAATGGTTTTCACATTTTTAAATGGTTGGAAAAATTACAACAAGAATAATATTTTATGAAAACTATATGAAATTCAAATTTCAGTGTCCATAAAGTTGCACTGGAACACAGTCATGCTTACTTATATATTGTTTATGGTTATTTTTGCACTACATCAGCAGAGTTGAGTGGTTACAACAGAGTCCATATGACCTGCAAAGCCTAAAATATTTACTGTTTGGCCTAAAATATTTACTGTTACAGAAAAAGTTTGCTGATCCTTGTTCTAGACTATTCTAATTTCAATAGGTGCAGTTGCCATCTTTTCTTGTTATTATACTCCACAGGTCTGATCAAATAAGAACAATGTTATCTGGTTAGAAGTGTCTTCCTTTAAATGGGCCTCTTCAAGCTCAGAGCAAAGGATTCAAGACTTCTGTACTTGGAGCCTCATTTTAAAGCTTTACTTTTAGGTCTGGAATTTGTTGGAAAGTACTTTTGTGGTATTTTTATAACAACATCTTCTTTGAAGATGTTCCTTCATTGTGGGATGTTAGTTCTTTTCTGATATTTCTCTTCAGAATTTGGTTTCAGTACTGGCATTCATTTTGGATGCCACATGGAGATATTTAGAACCAAGAAACTTTTCATACAACCCACTGAAGCTGTGGAAGGTTTTTTGCTAGGGTCATCCCATGTCAGAGTCTTTTCCACCACACTTGCTCACTTCATGCCACTGAACTTGTGATACCTTCAGCTCCTGGTGCCCATTACTCCACCTAGTTTGAGAATACGCTGCTCCCTTTTCTCTGCTCCCTCTTGCTGTTGTATCTTTTAGGAATTTACTGCCTTTTTTCCTTTTCTTGCTGAGGATAAGTAAGTAAAAGGAGATGATAACTAGTCTGCTTTCCTACTCGTTCGTATCTCTTATGGAGCACACATTATATTTGAAGTCAGTTAACCCATGTTGCAGTCCTGCATTTTAGTAGTAACACCCTTCCTGGTGCGTGAGTACATTATCTCTTCAGGGGCTTTGAGATCTCAGGCCCATAACCTTAACCTCTCTGAACTTTGTTTTCTCATGTACAAATTGAGGGTTTGTTTTTTGAGATCTTTCCCTCAATCTAGGAATCTATGAAAATATTTCATGAGCTAAGAAGATCAGAATGAATGCTAAACCTTATTGCCTGAAGTATAATTTAGTATAGTCATTCTGCAGTACCTATCAAAATTTTAAATGTGGGAGCTAGGGTGTGGGAAAGAAAAAAATTTTTTTTAAATGTACCTATCCTTTCTTCCAGAAACTCAACTTCCAGGAATCTGTCCTACTCAAAAAAGTGTAGGATATATATACAGAATGTTCATTGCTGCTTTATTATAAAAGTGAAACATTCGAGACACTGCTAATGTCCATCAGTAAAGGAATGATTTAATAACCTATGTTATATCAGTATGATAGCATTCCCTGCAACTCTGCAAAACAGAGCTAGATCTATGTGAACTGTTCTGGAAGGATGGCCATCACATATTAAGTGAAAGAAGCAAGTTTGAGAACAATATAAATATGAACCTATTTTTTGTAAACTAAAATAATGTAAAAACTACATAAACGTGTTCATATACATATGTACATGCATAGATGTGTATTCATATATATATATACATAGATGTGTATGCATGTATATATGCACATAAAAGTATATATGCATAGGAGAACAATATAAATATGAACCTATTTTTTGTAATCTAAAATAATGTAAAAACTACATAAACGTGTTCATATACATATGTACATGCATAGATGTGTATTCATATATATATATATACATAGATGTGTATGCATGTATATATGCACATAAAAGTATATATGCATAGAAAAAGGTCTGGAAGGAATAAATCAAACTGTTAATAGTGATTACCATGGGGAGTGGATTTGCTGGAGTAGTAAGGAGATAGGGAAGCAATATTTTACTTTTCATTTTATATACTGCTGTATTATTCAAATTACTTTTTAAAAAACTTCTATAACTTTTAAAAATTATAAATGTGAATGTCAGAAAATAGAGATACTCAATCCTAGCCTGCAGATAACTAATAAGCATTTCAGCAGTCATGGGGCCCACTCTTGCTCTAAGTTCCTTTCTCATGGCTCCATCTTGCCATTTCTTTGGCCCTCTTTGCCTTCTGGCTTGGAGCACAGAATGGGAGACTTTGTTCTGCAAAAAGCCTTTGTTAAAATATGCTATGCACCCTGCAAAAGGATCTGAAGGTAGAGGGAGTTTATGGGTTGCTCTCTGCTATTAGTGTAATAACGGGGGGTTTTAAAAATTACTTTAACCTTTAACACTTTTTATCCCTGCTCTCTATCCTCAGGATTTCATTTCTAAAATTCAGATCTGATTTTTTTTTTTTCACTTCTTTGGATATAAAATCTTCCAACTGCTTTCTGATGCCTCAAGTAGTAATTGCTAAACTTTGTTGAATATGCATTCTCACTAATGCGTGTCTTTATTTTTAAATTATAAGTAAATTTACTACTTCACCAATTTATTATATACATTATAAACATAAATAAAAGAAAAAGAAAAAAATGAGAATGAAATAAATTTTAAAGTATTTTTATTTTACTTACTAAAGGTATAGAAAACCCTTTTTTAATATTAATAATTTTATTTTTGGTGAAAGCAGTGTGATTGAATTTTTTTTTTAATTTTTGCTTTAACATCTTGTGATATGAGAAATCAAAGGTCTAAATTTAAGTTCTGTGTATTTTTGATACTTGGTTTTAATGGTTACAATAACTGAAAAAGACATATCTTTAAAAGATGAGCTTAGCTTACTAAATCATAACATTCATTTTTCAGTCCTGTTCACTAATTATATTCCAATTCATTTTGAAGTTCAGGTAATAAATTCCTGTCTTGTGTCAGTCAATTCTTGGGGACTAACTGAAAGGTGATACATTTTCAGATTTTTAAAAATGGGTTCATAATCATTGGTTGCTCTTCAGTTGGCATCTTTAAAAACTAGTTAGAAAATTCTGTTAGAAGTTTTAAGCTAATATAGTTATGAACAATTTTGTAGTTTATACACTTACATCATTTTAGGCTCCAAATCATATAACAATGGAAGCATTTCAAAATATTCATTTAAAAAAATGTTATCTTCAAAATGTGTGTTGTTTTGTTTTTGAAGTGCAATAAATTTTTTTTCTCATTGTTAAAATGCCGCCTTTACTTGAAGAGACAGATTGTGTGTTTATTTTTTTACTTTTTTTTTTTTTGACCGGTAAGGGGATCATAGCCCTCTCTGCATGGTGTGGTCTGCACCACACTCAGCCAGTGAGCGCACCCGCCATCCCTATATAGGATGAACTCACGGCCTCAGGGCTCTCAGTGCTGCACTCTCCCAGCGAGCCACAGGGCTGGTCCGTGTTTATTTTTTTAATGTGTCTGCTAAGTAGTGTATGATTGACAGCTATTGTTTTGAAATCATCATGTGTCTGGGGACGAATTCATGTTAGGAGTAGAAGAAATGTCAGCTTTGCCATTCTTCTCGTGTTAGTAATATTACTAGTAGTGCGAGTATTGTTAGGTTAGTATTGTCTTCAATCTATGGATCTTTGCAGTAATCTTTTTTTAGACACTTGCCTATTTCATAAGGATTATTTTAGCTAAAACTAGATAATACCCATAAACCCGTGTAACTGGGCATGGGTAAATACCTATTAATCACCATTGGCTGAGAGCATAGGAACCAACGAGAGTGCCAGTGTCGTTGCCTTTGTGTTCTGGAACACTGACTGTTTCATTGGTATACCTCGGTTACCACCTGACCCATGCACCTAGTGAAAGCGCCAGGGTGAATTGTTTATGTAGTCACAATTAATTTCTTGTTTTTGCTGAGTGTTTGGATCTGATTACCTTTTCCTTTTCTTTGGCTGGTCTTGTGATAGATTTGTTCAGTTTTTTGACTGACAAGTATTTATTTATTTATTTATTTATTTATTTCTTTTTTTGTCTTTTGTCTTTTTTCCGTGTCCGGCAACGGATCGCAACCCTCAGTGTTGCCCCCGTACCGGACCAGGGACCGGCAATTATTTTAGCTAAAACTAGATAATACCCATAAACCCGTGTAACTGGGCATGGGTAAATACCTATTAATCACCATTGGCTGAGAGCATAGGAACCAACGAGAGTGCCAGTGTCGTTGCCTTTGTGTTCTGGAACACTGACTGTTTCATTGGTATACCTCGGTTACCACCTGACCCATGCACCTAGTGAAAGCGCCAGGGTGAATTGTTTATGTAGTCACAATTAATTTCTTGTTTTTGCTGAGTGTTTGGATCTGATTACCTTTTCCTTTTCTTTGGCTGGTCTTGTGATAGATTTGTTCAGTTTTTTGACTGACAAGTATTTATTGAATACCATCCATGGGCACCAGGGATATGACTAAACCAAAATAGATGTGGTTTCTGCCCTTATGGAGTTCTCAGACTCGTGACAGAACGTGAATCACGTGTATTAAGAAATAGTCAAATATGGCATTATAATGAAGAGAGGTACTTGGTACAAGTATTTGTGATAGTGTGATTTTTTTTTTTCTGCTCAGAGGTCCACTGCCTTCAAAGAGTTTTTTATCAAAACTCATTTTCCTAGGAATGTCAAAAGAACTAGTATTGAGTCCCAGTGAATCCTGAAAAATATGTGCTATATTGAATAAATTAATACACATTCTGTAAACTCCTTAGCAGGACATCTAAGGTTAAAAATTTAAAAAGCAGTTTAGTAACTACAGGCCT